ACACAAAAAAGCAGCTGGATTGAAGTAATTCACCGTGATGAGTCGAATAATGATATTTTTTAAAGGATTCAAAATGATCTGACACTGCTGTTGGCTCAATATTTCTGGAATTCTACAATCATATCCATGTAACGAAGGAATCAACATTTCGGAGATATTGAAATAACAGAGTCAGATCAGTTCGAACCTAAAAATAAATATCCTCAATTGACTCAGCATGGTGAATTATCTCTGCCTAGCTGGTTTTTCCGATGATCACAGATCAATTGGCTGAAAGTGAAGATCTCAGAAGAACTCGTATAATTATCAAATGGGACAGGCTAGGAATGCCGACCTTCCCTAGATCGAAAATGAAGAATTTTTACTTTTGATTAATTCTGTTAGGCGTCTAAATCAGAAGAAAAATAGCTTCAGAATATTGTTTTCGAAAATCTTCATCAACATCTCACTTGATTGGTCGATTTCTGACCAGTCAAATTTCGGTATGCTTCGTTGATCCCGAATCTTTCTCTTAAATAATGAAAACCACAGATCTCTATGATGTTTCTATCAAAAATTATTGAAAAAATAATGGAACACATTATATTTTGAAATGGATAGTACGAACCAAACCCAATGAAAAGTTACACTTTAACTAATATTTATGATAGTCTAGTGACAATTTATGATGTACAACACTTCATCAGTCAATATCACTCCTCAATAGAAATGTCGAAGTTTTAAGATGAATAATTATACATTAATGATAATTCTACTCGTATTTCAAATGTATAGTGTATGGTATTTTACATGATCATTTAGATATGATTGATAATTTAGTGATATATGTCACTCATATCTAGAAACATAATCTACAGTAAGTTATTCGTCTTTTAAATTGGCAGATTGACTGAAAAACTATAATATATGATGGAGTATTATCACGATAAACTACCATTATACATGAGGAAATATTAAATGATCTTTCGGAAACTAAAAAAAAAACTAAAGGCAAGCAAACACGATATATAAGATGTTCTAAAAAGTGTTACTATATTTGCAAACCTATGTTTAAGATAGAAGAGCTTATAATATCTATGAATAGGAGACTGTATGAAATATACATAGACATCAATATTAATACATCAATACTTCTTATTCCTTTAAAAAAAGGTAGCTTTGTATATTTAAATATTTTTCGTATGAGTATTTAGTGTTTATATGGGAAGTGTCGTGGATTTTTTTTCTTTCAAAATGATATTCAACTATAAATAAATCGATTTTTGATAGATTCGACTTCCTAAAAAAACATTAATAGGGAAGAAACGCCTTGTTCTAACCTTTGAATAGACATTATTTAGACTAACATGGGAACTAAATTGATTGCATAAGTATACTTTGATAATGTCTTTTAAGAGTTGTCACGTCATTAGAAGCTATTCATAGACGGTAATACATATGAAGAAAGCATAAAAGGTAAATTGTTCGACAGTTATTTGTCTTCTTGCATAACAGAATGCGAAAAGAGAATTCAAGTTTCATTATCTGAAAACAAATACTATAGAAGACAATTTGTATTTCTCTATAATTGATGTACAGAATCCTTTTATGATACAGTATTTTTATAGTATTGCTAAGTTTCAATAGAACTATTACAATGATATCTTATTTAAAAATTAGAGAAAAATTTAATCTTAGTTGAAAATATTACTATTCAAAATTTAATTAGTTTTGGTTTTTATTGTCTTTCGAAATTAAGATTCTAATCTAATCTGACTTATTTAAACTACGATCGACATTATTAATAAAAAAAACAAAAACAAATCTTAATTAGTTTTGAAACGTAAATATAATAGAAACAATCTTTTCTAGATAAACATACGCTGTTTTTGTTATTGTCGATGTTGTTGGTTCATCAACAAATACAATTTTAATATCTCGTGTTGGATCAAGTGTAAAAAAATTTTTTTCAAGATCAACAAAAGTAAATGCTCGTGTTTTTTTAAATTCTTGTTCTTGTTTAATACGTTGATAATGATCATATATTTTTTGATAATAATTATTTAAAAATTCATCAAATCTATTTTCATTTAAAGATCGAAGATATTCATTTTCAAATTGTATTCTATCATCATTTTTCTTTAAAAATTTTGCTGATGTTAGAGCTCGTTCTAATTGAACAAATTTATATGCATTTGATTTAGATTTTTTATTTGTTATTGATAATGATGTCATAGATAAACCAGACCATTGTCGAATAGGTACAGATATTTCAGATGGTTTATATGGAGATTCTTTTTCTGCATTTTCAATTTCTGTTGTTCCATCTAAATCAGTTTCATCTTCATCACTAGTTATTATAAAAAGTTTACTATTTGTTAATATCGATTGAGTTTGATCAATTTGTATCTTTAATATGTATAGATTTATAACATTATTTTATAATTCGATAATCAAAGCTTACTTGATCGCTGTTATTTATTGATGTTGCTGCCATATTTTGGTAACTATTTCTTTGTTATGTGTGTATGTGTGTGTGTGGGTATGTAGAATAATGGTGTCATTTCATTCAATTCATGAAAGAGAAGAACAGAGTAAAAGAAAAGAAAGAAATTTATGCAAAGTTTTTTTTCTTTTTATTTGCTCTCCCATTTTGTAATAAATCAACATGCAGTCAATGTTAGAAGACAAATAAATGCATTGCTCCAATCATGCACAGTTAATGAAACATTTGTGAATAGTTATTTCTTTCGATCAGAAATAGCAATCAAAGTATTGTTATGTTAGTTTATTCAATCATGTTAGGAAGAACATTTACCTTGAGATACAATCAATTTCTTTTTTATTTTAATTTGAAAAACAAATGTTTGTATAATATATAGTTAAATAAAAAAACAAGATTTCTATATATATATATAATTATTAACCAAAACGAGGACTTAATCCACTGTTTAAACATTGTTGTCAACATACAATATATTTATTCAAATAAAAATGAAGTCGTACATAATAAGAACACTTTACATTAATCGAGTAAAACTTTTATTAAGTTAAAAATAAATATCTTTAGACGATTTTATTCAGTTGAATTAACTTCTTTTCATTTTTTTTTTTTTTTGTAGAATAATGTATTTCAGAGTTAAACGTTGATTTATCGACGAATAAGAGTCGTACGCTATAAAATTCTTCTTTATTACATTCAATTAAACAGCCTCTTAGAACAACTTTGAACTAATAACAAAAAGCATGTAAACTATAAAGAATAATCGATAAAAGAACTATTGTTGTTGTATACAACTCTTGAACAATTTTTTTTTTCTTAACTAATAATTGTAAACAATAAATCCAAACGGATAAGTCGGCAAAGAGAAAATTAGTCGCGAATCAATTTTGTGTATTATAATTACCGTAGACTCGATTTTCATACTCAAGATTTTAAGTATACTCATATTTTCAATAAGTTTGATCGTTACTTCGTTTGTCGGCAGTGTAAATAAAGATAGCGTTACAAAAAAAAAAAGGTTTCCTTTTATAAGTTCGGCTGAGTGTAAATATGAACATTTTCTTTCATAAAAAAGCATAAAAGTACTGTACGGAGACAGAATCTAAGAGCAATAATTTAATATTGAACAAAAAAAAAATTGTAGTCTCAAATAATTTCCGAATATCGGAAAGATATATCCTCCTCTTAATTGATATTTAATTTCTTAAATGTCTTCCTGCTCTTGTGTTGATGAAAGTTTCATCGGAAAAAGTTTGTTCTCTTTGTTTTTTTACAAATTTTCATTGTCGCAAGCAATTTGGGTATGAGTTCGAAGATATTCGTATGTCTTAATGATATGAATGCTATCTATCACGAAGAAAAGAAATTCTTGTAAAACATTAGAATATGTACAAAAAAAAAAAAGTTTTCTTCCTGACCATTGTCCTTTGGATACATCTTATAATACCAATACTAATATTTATTACTTGTGTGATTGTTATAAATGGATATTAAAGTATTACAATCTGACACTCAAAACCTCTTACTTCTGATCATTCTAATATTGTAATAATAATTTTAACTATAAGTTTTGTTAACAAGTAAATAGATGATATCATAATGACTGTTTTGATCAACTTGAAACAATATCTATAAGACAAGTTATCGCTTTGCAAATGTCATTAGGCATAAAATACAATGGATTCTATTAGATACTATTCTATAGAATAAATTATTTTTTGGTCATAGAGAAAAGTGAAATAAGTCTTATATTAGAACTGCTTTGTTTTCTCAAATAGATATAGGCGAAACTTATCAGGAATGTTAATATTCTTACTATTGAAATAGTAAAGATAGTAGCGCTATGTTTTACACAAATATTAAATTAAGAATTCGATATTTTAATCAACATCTTTATTGTTTATGAGATTTTAATGTTATCAAAAAAAATAAATAATCGTAAAAAATGAATAACAATGATCGAACTTATGGATCTACTATTAAAGTTTATCTTTTCAAAATGATCTATTTTTTTTTCTGCATTATTGACGAGAACAAACGATCGTTTCTACTATCATAAGACATTTTCTATTTCGCTCTTATTCTTTTTCTTAGTCAATGAATCATTTCATCTTAGCTTCTATATAAAACATATCTAAATAGAAAACGAAAATCATTTTCTTTTCTTATATTATCATGGTTCGACCACCATCATCTCGAGAAGATTATTCTTTATCTACTGATAATACGAATACATCATTTTCATCATTATTAAGTGAATCAGGTGAATTTACTGTTACATCGAATTTTAGTCCATTACCACATACAACTACAATAACTAATATTTCAACAGAATTATCTTCAAATCGATATCCTTATGTTGAACAATATTTAAATATTTATTATAAAAAAAGTCTTAGTCAATCTGTAAGTACATTCTAGATTATTATTATTATTATTGTTTCTTTTTTTTTGACATCTGAAAAAAAAAATATATTTTAGATGATATTAGCAACAAGTCAATTAGTTGAAAATACACTTGCACTTTATGATAGTATGGATGATGAAGCAGCTAATTCATATATACTTTCATTTATTCTATTACGTGTTGGTTGTTTATCTAAAACATATGATTTTGAACAATTTATTGATATGAATCGAGAAGAAAAAGATAGGATTATTAAAGAAGTAAGATGAATAATAAAAGAAAAACTAATAAACGAATATTTATTTATTAATTAATGTGTTGTTGTTTTTTTTTTGTTTATTTAGAATTGGTCAGGTGAAAAAGTTTTAATGAATTTAACATCAAAAGATGATGAAATAGAAAAAAATTATAAACGTTTTGAAGCATTTTTTTCAACACTTGCTTGTCTTCGTTTTGATGATATTATACGAATAAATAATGAAACGAATTTAAAAAAAATTATTTATTTATTAATTGATGATATTCAATCAACTATTGTTGAATATCGTTTTACAATATTACTTGCTCGTAAAAATCATATTATTAAATTTAATTTTAAAATATATCTATTTTATTTTATTTTAGTTGAAGCTATTCTTCGTGGTTTAATTACAACTGTTGCTCATGGAAGAAGAAATAAACCAGGAAAAATTTCACCCTTTATTGGACATAAGGTAGAATGTTCAATCATTAAGTTAATTTTCTAGTCAATAGAATTTTTTTGTAAAGTTAAGTATCTTGCGTAAAAAGTATTAAAAATATTTTCTTTTATGTATTATTTTTCATCAATAGTGTCCGACTCGGTTATGAAAAAATTGTTGGATTTCGGAATGAATTTGTACTCTGAACATTTTGCAGATGCAAAAAGCATTTTGAATAATTTTTTTTTTTTTATTCAAAAATTCTATAAGAGAGCGTGGAAAAGCTTAGTAGAACAAGAAGTTATGCATCGCACGATCTTTTCTTTATTGACATCGGACAACAATGCATAGTGAGTGCACTGGTCTATTCAATGATGATGTAAAGGTCGTAGGTTATATACATAAGAAAAGAAAGACAAAAGTGGTCGATATCATAATCTGACTCAGATCAGATCGAATCATAAAAATTTGACTCATGTTAGATACTGTCTTGTACCGGTATGAGTTTATAATTTTCATTCAATTCGATTTCCTATATTCATCAAAAAGTATACCACAATAAGTAAATTTGTTTATTTTATGAGAGCTTAGCTATTTTAGATTGAATGATGAGTAGTCATAATTCTGTGAATTGATTCTTTTTTTCTGATTAGTAATTCAAAAACAAAAAAACCATTTATTTAGGATGCAACAAAAATATTCGAATTTGTATCAATGGTTTTTACCAAAGCAATAGTTCCTCGTCTTTCGTAAGTTTTTTTTATTCTATTTTAATTTCATTTTATTTTTTCGATTTAAGTGATTCTGAATCACAAATTGGTCATATGGCATATCAAGCATTGATTGAATTATGTGAAATTTGGCCAAATTCATGGATATCTAAAGAAATTTTTGATGAATGTATTTATTCGATTGTTTCACAAGTTAATTTAAAAAATTTTTCTTTTTTGTAAGAATTCTTGATTTATTTTTTTTTTCTGGCATATAGGATGATAAATCTGATTTTAATAATTCGATTCGAGTTTTTCGAACATTATTAACTCATAATGAATTTGAAAAAGAATCTATTCGTCAATATATTCAACATTTCCTAATAAAAATTTCATCTGATGAATTTGAACTTCTATCTGTACCAAATACAACTTCAATTTATAAATTAATTAATGATATATTAACGTAAGTATTCTATATAATGAAAATGTTTAAGAAAAATTTTTAAAAAAAAAACATTTTATTACTAAATGTAGAATTTATCCAGAAATGTTTTCAACAAAAATGATCTATCATTGGTCAAGTGGAATATTTCAAGATAATAATCGAACACAAAAATTAGCTTTAAATTATCTTTTAAGTCTTATTCAAATGAATGAAGATCAATTTCAATCAACGACAATATGGCCTTATATTATTCATGTTTATGTGAATATATTCAAGGTTAAAGAATTTTTTATTAAACACGACCTAAAAGGAATCTCGAAGCATATAGAATAGAAATTTGCACTCCCTCCTAAAATGATCGACTTTCTGTCAAATTTTTACAGTTTCATGGTAACTTTGGACAGAAATCGGGTTTCTCTGATAGGTAGCGAAATAAAAAATAAGCAGACAAAGTTGTTGCGAGGTGAATACGATTAGGGAGGAACGGCCTGATAGCATGTGATCTGTGTGCGAGCGTCTTCTTTCTTCATCCCACCGATCACTACTTCTAGCACTCCAAAGATGAAAGCACTTTCTGCCAAATTTTCAGTCCCTCCCCTCTCCATTCACAAAAAATATCAATAAGCCTGTCCACAGACCATGAGAGACATTACCATGGAAATGTCACAGATCATAAATGAACTACTTCCTTATTGCATTTTTTGAAGGATTAAGTAAAAGGATGATGAAGAAATGTGTTCCAAAATAGATAGAATAAAACAATCTTTCTATGAATGATAACAGCAGTTACATCGTGTTTCACATTTTAATCCCACAAGGATTGAACTAATAAGTTTTGTTTTTTTAAGAAAAAAATATATCGAACATACTATTAAAAAGATAAGTTCTTTTGGATCATTCTATTTTCTTTAAGAACAAATCATGCACTACAGATTGAGTAGGGTTATATCTAACGTGAAGGTCGGGTGACAATACTTGCGCAAAGATTGAAATCACATTTCTCAAGGTTGTTATCGGCCACTCAGAGTTTCAAACGGCACTTCTAAAAGGAAAAATAACTGGACACAGCAATAGGGTTGACTAAAGTACTTATGAAAAAACTGAGAGCATGACAAATCAAGCTTCTTCTCGAACAAAATGTTCAAATAGTTTATTTTTCTAATAAGCTCGAGTCAGTGCATCATCTTTTCCTCCTAGAAGAAAACTCCAAGTTTTTTTTTTGTTCGAAAATATGATTTTTCGGTAAAATGAACTTAATTTTTCTAGTGTAATTTTCAAAATCAATTCAGTTAATAGAACGTAGATCATAGGACATGATGTTTTTTTTTATTTTGCTTCTTATTCTACCGTGAAAAAAAAAACTCATCAAAATTATTTCATCTCATTCTAATCTAAAAAAAAGAAACTCATCATTGTTCATAGTTTCTCTTATCTTTTCATTACTGTCTATGAATTTTGTTTTTCATTATTAATTTAAAAATCTTATTATAGTTAAATGTAAGTGAAGAAACAACAGCTTGTTTAATACATTCAATAGAAAATAATTCTAAAATTTCAACAATTCTTTCAAATATATCTGGTATTGAATATTACATTGAAACAAAAATTTTTGATAGTAAATAAAGAAAACAAAAAAATCAAACTTTTCTTATCTTTGACTTTTTAATTAATAATTTTTTAATTAGATTCACAAATATCATCAATTCTTGTAATTCTTCAATTACTTCGTTCACTTTTTATTCTTCATATTAATCGACAACGAACAAAAATGTTAATTAATGATGAAGAAAATGATGAAGAAATGATTTGTCGAAATATTAGTAAACTTACATTTAAATTCATTACACGTATTTTTCAACAAGTATATAGAATTTATTTTAAAAAAAAAACAGAACAAGAAACTAAAATTCTTTGCTTATTTTTTTTGTTTTAAGGGTAATATTAATAAATCAATATTAATGGAATGTTTAACTGCTTTACAAACAACACTTTGTTCATTACCAAGTGAAAATATTAGAGAGAATTCACTTTCATTAAATGATTTAATTAATGAAATGAGAATGATGATTACTACTCATCAATTAGCTGATACATCCATTGATACAGATATAAGTGAATAAGAACAATAAATTAAATTCGTTGGTTTTCTTTTTCATTTTTTTGTTTAAACTATAATGAACGAACATATTTTATTGTATATATATATATATATATATAAACTAACTTGTTTTTTATTTGATGAAATGAAATTTCGAAATAAATAAACTCCAATTTTATGATGAACAAGAATCAAATGTAATTATTTCGATGATTTGAAAATCGAACAAGGATTATTCTGCCAATTATTATTTCAGTGAAAGAATAAACAGACATAAAACTTGAAGATGTTCTTTTTTTTTATGAGACGAATACTCGTTGAACTTTAACATTAAAAATTATCCTATGATGCTTAATCTTGTTTAAGATTAGATCATTTTTTATTGATACTTTAAATCATATTGCAAAAGATGACATTTACTTTACCATTGAGCTACGCTATTTAAACAGAAAAGTGTAAGGTAATGTCTTTATTTTTGTTCTCAAAAAACCAAAATTGTTTACATGTATAAGATGCTGGTAGTTAACGAATAATCTGTTTTTTCTAAAATCATAGGTACCAATTTTTCACACATAGCATATGCAAGAGGTTTGTGTGTATCTACTGTTAAGCATAAACATATCAGCTACTTGTAAAATTGCCGCATTTCTCATACGAGTTCGAAAATCTATGATACTCATAGAATTACTATCAGTTGCCATTTTGCATGTTTCATCCAGATGGAAACAACAACTCGAATATGTGCACGTACATGCTCTATCTAATTGATCATAGTTTTCGGGTGGGAAAATGCCTTGGATCAAGGACCGTTGAGTCGAGATTATTACTAAGATAGAAACGATCGATGATTAGGTTGCTTGTAAGATTGTTGGAGACAAAGCGTACGGTATTTGTTGTTTATAGTCCACAAAGAAGAGTGAGTAATTTAATATTTTCAATTGGAAGACTAGCTTATAATTATTGAATGAATTCGAAAATTTGTTTAAAAAATTGAATCTATGGAAAACCATTTCTATTTCAAGGAACTAAACAGCATTTAGCAAATGAAGTACACTTACAAATAGATTGGTGATTGAGAGTTCAACATCAAGCTGATTCCATCATTGCCGAATTGGTTTGCAGTTATATAAACCATTGATTTACTACTGCTTTTGTTTTGCAGCTTCCTAAACAATATCTTGCATTCTTTGATTGATTTGCTTGTAAGCAAACTAACTGAAATTAATACTTGGTATAAATCCCATCTTTATATCATACGATATTTAGATCATTAAAGTAAGAATACCAACATGATGATAAACAAGATGGTCATCAAGTATAAGACTGATTTTTAAATAAATGAACAAGAATATATTTACATATAAGTGTGTGATGCGATAGATTCTTTCCTACATCATACAAATTGATTTTACAGTCGATATTCACTTTGGCAAGTTATTGTTTTTAATAACATGAAGAGAATAATGCTTTTTGAACCGTCTGTAAATTGAATGCAGTGCAATGAAGAAGGACTATGGAGAGATAGGAGATGTCTAACCATGCTCAGAATCATTTGTTCTATCAAATAAAAATCTTTTCCTAAAAGCTTCGAATGGAAGCCAGAAAACTGGTTTTGGAAGTCTCGGTTTTTTGTAGACTCTCATTCAAGCATTTTTGTTGAAGTATTCAGATATATCAATCCTGATTGAGAATCCTTTTAGTTGCACAAATGCTTTTACAGATTCTTGCTGGCTATGACCATAAAGAAGACAGCTTAAAAATACAACTGCTATAAATTTATATCCATCACTGTATATGGTTTTGTGATAACATAAAGCATCATTTTCTAATTTTTTTTTTGACATATATTGCATCGTATATTAATGTAATAGAGTGAGAAAATAATCTATCATTGATTTCTATAAGATGATATTTTATCGCAATTCATTCATGTCATTTAACGATAATTTTGATATCGAAATGGATTTTTCAATGGTTCACTTGTCTATCTTTCGAATATTGATCAAACTAAAATTTGTGAATAGTTTGTATAAGGATATTTAGTTTGAGATAGTTACATAGATTCTAGGTGGCAGATACCGATATCAAACAGGCAAATTTATCATTTTTCATTTATTGAATCGAGAAGCTAAATGATATAGTTCAATATTTAATCAGTAAATGATGAAAACATTTTTCACTCCATGAATATCATCAATCTATCAAAAGTAAAATAAGTTCAGGCAAAAATTATTTGTTTTCTTTTATTGTCTATAAGCTTCTAAATAATCTCGAGAGCATCTGTCGCGCTTCTATCTTAATGTAAAATTGAAAAAGTGTTACCACTTAAGATATTATAAATTCTGCAGCATTTGCTACATTTTATTAAGAAAAACTAGAAACCTTTTCTGATGTTATCGTCCAATACTACTATAAAAATAGAATAAAATTCACTATTTACTAAGTCATTGGAAATAATCATGAAAAAATTTTTATATCTCGCTGTGATAAGCTATTGAATTACTATTCAAGATTATAATATTGTTCTTTTAAGCTATATTTCATCATTGGATTGACATTAGCTTTTCCTGGTGATTTTCTTTTGTCATTTTTTAATCTTGGTAAATATTTTCGTGCTCGTACTCCAACAAGCATCTGTAAAAATACTACAATATCCCAATCATATCTTTCTCAAATGCTTTCTCTTATTAATAATCTTCAAGAAAATTCATTGTATAATTCAATTTTACAAATACAAATGGCTAATGTTGTTTCATATTTACAAGATACAACGAATCAAGCATTGCTATTAACGAATTGTACAACTTGTGTGACTAATTTAAAGGCAGCTAAATCAGTAGACAAAACAGCTGAACGTACAAGACAACAAATTGCTTCCGATATTCACAGACAATTCCAACAAGTTGCACGTAATGCAACTAGAAGCAATGCACCCTATGAATTCGATAGCGATGAAGACATCGAACATCTCTTTTAAATTTTTATCAGTTTTGCTGATAAGAAAATAACACGAAGAATAAAAAAAAAATGATAAAAGATGTTTCATCTATATTTGTAATAAATGCTATTGGCACATATGAACATCAGTTTGTTGTGATGAATAAGACAACAATAGCAATTCTAGATCTTTTGCTCACATTGTTTGATCGGTTGAAATAGTTGTCCGTAAAGTTGTTGTACTTTTGAAATAAATTTATTTTAGATTGAGTAAATAAGTAAGGCTATTGCTTAGATAGCCATGCACTAATTGCTATTCTATTACGCAGCATTATTTAGTATTCTTAGAATCTCTAGCGGGAACTGGGTTTTTTTTTTGACATATAATGTTATTTCTATCGATAACATTAAGTATAAAGATTCAATGAAAATAGTAATTTTTCGATTATTGGTAGAGTTGGATGTAGAAAGACCTAAAGGAAAAATATCGAAAGTTTCAATTAGCCAGACATTCTTAATTTTTAGCATAATACTACTATTGTAACATAGATCATACACAAATCAAGAGATACAAAAAAAAAAGAAAGTTTAGCAATTGTAAATGACAACCCATCTAAATATTCCATTACATTTATGAAATTTGTACAGATCTATTTTTTCTTTTTTTGGAGAGTGGCAATGTTAACCGATTATTCATATGTATATAAATTGTCGCTGAACATTCAATACGTGTACATATCCAATATTTGGTAGTCATTGTTACTTTGTTCGATTATAAAATGTCTTTATCTGATACAAGCAAAGATTTCCTTGTTTACGACTGAACAGATGAAATAATTGGCGTTGATGAATGATTCTCATATAGTGAAGATGAAGCTACTGTAGTCATGATAATAGATTTTCAGTTGTATAATATTATTTTTCAGACCATTTTATTTCTTCTCTAACAATTATTACTCATCACTGTTACTAATAGTTATAGTGACAGATCAATAGAATAATACCAAAAATAATAATAAGCTATAGAGAATAAATCAGCATTTACAAGAGATATCACTTTTTTCAATATTTTTCTTTTCGGTTTTTTTTACAACACATCATTGTTAACAACAGTTTGCAATGCAATTTGTTACTTTGATTCTTTCATCAGAACAAAAAAAAAATGATAAATTCAGAAAAACTACATTTTATCAGAGAAGTATCACAAAATACAAACAGATATAATTTCGTAAAAAAACAACAACGTGAATTACTTATGACATTACCAAATAATCTTGAAGCAATATAGCTCAATCGAGAAAATTCTTCGAATATTTTCCAAATCAATATTACGTTTAACAATGAAAAAAGATCTTTAACGGGCTGAAATATTGCTAACCAAAAGAAAATATTGATTAATATAGGTAGTTGTTTTCATGTTGCACAACTGTCAAAAACATCAATCATTCTATTCATACACAGTTTTTTTTTAATAATAATTCACCGAGAAAAAAAGCCCTTGCTTATCGAGTCTATGAGACATGCTTTTTTTTTTATTGAGTTATAAATGTTATTCTAATAAATCTGTTTGGCGACAAATATGAATGTGTGTCAGCAATCTGAACATGTTCTTTACATTAATACTTCGATGAATAACTGTAAGATATAACTCTTTCATTAATTTATTTTATGCATTCAAGTAAAATATTAAAAGTTGATCAAAAAGTAAATTTACTCATTCTTTATTTGTTCTTGTCATATTGATTTTTAATTCCTGTATTATCACTAAAGAAAATCACGAGTTTTATGAAACAACAAAACAAATACAATCTACATATTATACTATAAAACTAGATTGAATTTCAGTTGAGTAGAACATTTTCGAAATGTGCAAGTTATTCTTGTTTTTCTTGGTAACTAATTCTCATTTTGTAATATGTAAAATTTTTATTTTTATTTTTTTTAAATAGGTATTCTTTGCTATAGGCTTGACATTAGCATATCATGATAAAGATCAATCACACTTAGAACGAAAGAATCTACCACGTTTGGATTATAAACAATTCAGAATAAATCGAAAATTTACAAAATTTTGTTCAAATAATACAATAGCACAAACTTATCTAACAAAAATACTTTCAGTTATCGATGTTCTTCAAGCAAATTCATCATATGATTCAATCTTACAATTGCAATCAGCTAATTTCATTACATATTTAAAGAATACTACTAATCAAGAACTATTAAGTAATGATTGTGGAACTTTTATTAAGGGTCTCAAAACAGCTACGAAAGCGGATAAAACAGCTCAACGTGTACAACAACATTTGGCAGCACTGATTCATAAAAAAATAAAACAAGTTGCACGTAATGTCACCAATGGAAAAGGATTTCATGAGTTGGACAATTAAATTTAAAAATACATTTAAAGTTTTTAATTGAAATCAATAAAACAATTATGAACAAAAAAATTCTTTCTTGTTTTTTTTTAATATTAACCGTTTATCCCTATTGGCAACTGAAATTGCTATTTTTAGATGCATTGAAGAACATGCAGAACGCACGATATTAAAAAGCTCCATACACAGTATGTGCAGAGAGAATTTCCTAAACTACCAATTACTAAAAAAAAAACAAATTTTGTATCACTACTTTGTCTCCAAGATATATGACTAACGAAAGAGAAGACTATTAGATTATTACAAAGAAAGGTCTCTTTCTATTAATTGATTTTCTTTACCCGCGAGAAATATATATCTTGATGGTATACTGTGTGATGGATATTGATGAAAGTGGCTACTATTGAATAAAATGTATTTCAAAATTTTCTCACGAATTAATTGAATAAGAGATTGTACGACATATTAATGACAACTGGACTTGTCATTAGAGGATAATGACATGAAAAAAAATTTAGGCACTGTCGCCTAAGCCTAACACTTGTTAATATTTACGCATCGATAGGTAAATAGATTGCTGTTATTTATAAATCCTTGGTGTGGGTGACTGTGAGGTACGGGTATGGGTGTGTGGATGTCCGTATTGTACAAGAAGAGGTCCAACCTACACACTCAATACTCTATTTCAATAGATGTTTTATTAGTAACTCTTCTGAAACCATTCTGGAAGGTAAAGCGTTAAGATAATGATCAACTATCAAAAGGAAATCATCAATGCTGTAGAATATTCATGCACATTAAAAATAGTAGATGACAAAATTGTTGTCATTTTACAAAGATTTGATCTATTATCAAATACTTGAAATATGATACTTGGAGTAGAAATTCATAACTTATTCTAAACTTCATAATCCCCATCATTACAATTATTTGTTGTATTTATATCATTTATTTTCTTGCGAATAGAATAAAATTCTTTTATTTTTTTTTTGTCGGAAGTATATTGATTGAACATTTATTAATTTTATATGAATAAAATAAAATTTATATTTTTATGATGAACATTTCTCAATAATTGTATGCATATAGATGGTTACATCACGAACAAGTCCTTCTGTGTAATATGGATCTTCTTGCATAAATCGCATTATTTCATTGTGATGTGTTGTTAAAGGCCAATAAAAACTCTTACCATCTAATGATTCAGCCACTTTGAATTCAACCTTGTTACCATTGTGATTTGAATGTTGACGAAGATATGATAGATGAGCAGGGCGAATTTCGTTTCGTTTCTTTAAAAAGTCATCATTATTAAAAAAGTAGTGAAGAACAAGTACTTTACGTTTGGACTTCGGCATAGGAAAAAAAAGAATAATATGTTGATAAGAAATATATATATATATATATATATATGCATTTGACGAAGAAGCAACTTTATTGCTATATAATTTGATAAAAGAACAAAAAAGAATCATCATAAATTTGTCTTAGTTTTTTACATGACTTATTTGATTATAAAAACTTAGAAGCTCGTTATCAGAATAGTTATATTGTTTCTCTCGATTTATTTTGAAATAAATTCTTATATTTCATCATAACATAAATATTATTCACTCTAATTTTATGACTGATAACGATATTATTACAGTTCGAATGTTAACAAGAAAAAAACTGTCTTGGCTTTTTTCTATATATATATATTCATCTGAAAATTCTCTACCATTCTAATATGGGATTACAAGATTTATTGCAGGGTATCCTCTATTGCCGTCGAAAACTTTTGTTTACAAACACAGCTACGCATTTCCCATTGAAAACATAAGTTTGTTTTTGTTTTCTTAGAAATATATTATATGATTAAGTAAGATAAAAGTTAATGATCACAGTAAAAAAAAAATTAGTTTTTTTTTTTCTAATTTCTAGCTCAAGAGTTCATTTTTCATCTCAAATATTTGTGAAAGAAGCTTATAAATTCTTCTATAAAAAGTTGGCATAAAATGCACTTTCTCTCTTCGTATTTCATATTGTAAAAACATGAATATTTTTTTCTCTTTTGGGACTAATAATGATAAAGAGAAAGTGAATAATGTCAAATCACAGGCGATCAAGTATTTATTAGATAATTAGTGAACGTTTTCGTTTAACAAACATTAGATACATCTTTTATTTGAATCCATCAAACATTCATGATTATTTTAACCTATACAGTTCGTTATTTTCGTCGTTCTTGTATCGAATTCGAACGAATTTAGGCTAGAATTGTGATTCCTCGAAACAATCATTGAAACTGAAATATTCTATATAATATGGGCACTTAGGGTGTGGGTGTGATTGTTGTCTCTTTCCACCCACACCCACACCCTCAAATCCACTACATCCGACCGAAACAGACTAAATATCGGTCGAAAAAAATAAGAAATGATGCTTCAACAATAGTACATTTGGGCATTTCTCCAGTAATCAGTCTCTTAGTTTCTACTATGTAATGTGATTTTCAATGTCAATCTATTCTCTAGCTATAATGGAAAAATCAGAAACATGTATTTTGTTTTCAAAATATTGCAGAAGCAATGCGCAAATTCGATTAGTTATGATGACTTTTTATGATAATATGACTATTGTTTCGGATATATAGTCAAATAACCAAACCTGATGATCCCAACTACTTTGCGTTATTTTCAAAGTCTATCTATTCTCTAGCTATAATGGAAAAGATCTCGAAGTGTCAATCGACACAGAACACTTGTACAGGCTGGTTTTCATACTGTCATATATGGGGAAAACTCTTGGGATACTACAGATCATGAAGACAAAATTTTTCATGACAAGGCATCAAAATGTATCCAAAATGGCAGCAAAATGTTCATCATGTTTCCAGATCTATCGTTCTATGTGTGATCTAGGATGCTAGGTTACATAAAAGTCAGTGGGTTGATTACCAATCTTTTGCATTCGCATTCTTTTCTTCGAATCGATTTCAAATATTTTCATCTGTTTATTGATTCTTAGAAACTATCATATGTCAAAGTTTGCGATATGTCCAGGCTGAGGGCTACCAGCTAAATGAATTCTAGTCAATATTTGTGCTTAGACTAGGTTTTATTTCGTTCGAACGATTTATATATATGAATCAAAAGAAAACAATCTGTTGATTGTTTGAACTGCATAGGGAATGAAGGTCTGCCAAAACAGTATTCCACTAGATGGTAACTTTTACAAAATCAAAATTGAATAAAGATGTGTGTTTTTCTAGACGAACTTGATCTTTCTGCAATAAATAAATATTCTCATCGTATTATTTAAAACAAACTGCAACACTAATTACCTAGATTATATCCAAAACATTGATCAACTAATAATGTAATTAATTTTGTAATTTTAGTGCCTGGCAATATGGGAATATGAGTCAACTTGGAAATGGAGCTTACTACAATATTGTGGTTAATCGCAAATACTATCTCATTCAACAAAATTGGGACGCAAATCTTCAGACATGTGCAATGTCTGCTTAAATTAGTTCCTCGCATTCATCCTGACACAAAAGACTGATTTTTTTTATTAGAGTAGCATACATGTTATAACAATACTTCCTTTATTATTATGAAATTATATATGCAATAAATTATCTTGTACGAAAAGTCAATCATTATTGCTACTATATGCATTTCTCACGAAAGAACATTCTCACATGAATGAATTGAATCGAATCTCGTGAGACCCGATCATTCAATGGCAACCGATGGAACCCCAAGTTACGGAATCACTAACGGATCCCATTGGCAGATTCTGATAAATATTCAATAACAACCAGCTGTCGATATCAGTAGAAATTTCCACCGTTGATTGTTTATAAGACTCCTATAGGTTTTCATAAATGTTTTTGGATCTCTGATGAATCTCACATATTATCAAAACATCCGTCATTTGAACTCTGCTGAACTTTAACTAAAAATATGTATGAGCTCGAAAATGTGGAAATGTATCGTATTTGTGGTGGACTTCTAATAAAATCACAAAGAGCGATTAAGCATAGTCCCATTGTAGTCACTGTTGATAACATTGAAATGTCACTTCGAAGTGAGAAATTTGGATCTGCAACATATACTTAAATAAAATTTCTCAAGTTAGGAAATTTCAGCTAGGGGATACTTACTTTGAAAAAAAATGAGGATTACATATGGACCTTTACCAAAGTTTTCCGGA